GGTACATTTGAACACGCCCTGTGAAAATTGAAAATGAAAACAATAAATCACAGATCACATCTTAAATAATCCAATCCTAACTGAATTGCCACCAGTTGATAATTTTACATGTATAAACAGAATATGAACATGGGTTAACATTTTGTATTTCATCTTAACCAAAAATATTTTCAAGATTACAGTACGACTTCCGGTAAATTCACACTTGTCTTTTATATTTATGCAGATTGTAAAAAACTTGACTGATCCTTAAAGTATGAAAACCAGTATTACATTGAAAACCAGTATTACACTCTCAGAAAACCAAATTGATTCTGATTTGTCAAATTTAAAAAACTTCCTCCAGTACCAGTAATGCAACTATACAAGTCCTTGTCTTAAAACTTTTGTTTTTTAAATTCTCTTCTGTCAATTGCATGTGTACGTTTCCAATGATAATTACATGTACACTCAGCATGCCAGTTATATGAATTTAATTAATAATCAAAATATTTCTGCAAATCAATGTAGGTCAAATGATCCTCACCAGTACATTTCACATTGCAGTACATTTTACACAGACTCATCCATTGCATGTCCAGAAATGTATGCATGTCTTGTAATTTTGTGATCAACTCTTGGATTTCCATTGATGCATATTTGCTATAAACTTTTATAACTCCATTATCAATACAACAGTTAGTCGGTACGAGTGAGAGCCAAATGATGTATAAAGAAAAAGTACCCGTCGCATCGACGGACAAATAACACAGGAAACGTTTTCTCTATTCGCATGGCCCTGGGACACAAACGCCAGGTAACTGTGATCAACATGATGATAATTTACGGTAGTGGTGGTGGTCATATCATGTTTGTTAAAATGGCCGCATTGAATGCTGATTTAGTTTTGATCACACAGGGCATCTAGCACGAAAATGTACTCACGTGGAGCGCATTAATTGGCGGCAAAACTCTACTTAAATATATAGTATATCGACCTACACACCTTTGCAGTCCCTGAACAATACGGAGCCCGACGACAGAGCATTGCAGAGCGAGCCGAAATCATGTCAACAATTCTTAATTAAAAGAGCACGATTTTTGTTGAAATTAACGATCTCAACTTCAGTATGTATGAACAAAAATATAATACTTACGTTTTAACATGCATTTGCAATTAGTATGGTATATACTCCCGAAGTCCAAAAGCATGTGTCAGACTGGATTCTGTTGTTGGACTCCTTTTTGAACTTTAACCTGCAAAAAATATCCTCGTAGAGGGCGGTCTATAACACGGAATACCAATTGCAGGTTGCATAGGTTGCAGTTTCTGGTGTTTTCTCGGTTAAACGTGCACATGCATGTCTTCATATCTTAAGGTATAGATGCAGGTTCGTGGGCACTTGAGAGTGATTGTTTTTGCTTGTTATTATCCAAACAGTCTTGGCTATAGACTGTTGAAATTTCGCAGCATTATGAATAGTAGAACATACTCAAAAAACGATTTTAAAATATAGAAAACATGTACAAACATTCTCTCTTTTTGAATGCTTAGCAATATTTAGCAAGGCTGTACATAAATAATCAAAAAGAAACATGGATCTCCATATTATGCATAATATTTAACTTTTTACAAAACGATAATAGGTTTAAATTTGTAACTGTTACAGCCATTAAAACGCAGCTATCCTCGGGGCGGAGCTACGTCACGTCACGTCGAGCTACGTTGCTACGACGCGCACCACTGTACGTGCATTTCTATGGACTCTGTGCGCGCTGCTGTGGGACGCCGGTCGAGCCGGAGAAAACAACACAAACTCAACTTTGCAGTAATCCAGAACAACCAAATTTATATATGTTACACACGTAGGGCTAATCTTGTTACACTGTTCAGAGGAGTCTCAAAAATTATCCCAAAGTACCGTTTTCTGCGAGTTTTGGGCCTTTGTTTTCACCGCGAGGGTTGCCAGGCGGTGAAAATGCCCGGATGTCCGCCCGAGGTTATGAAGAATATGAATATGTGTATTAATTAGGTTTATAAAAGTACTGGTTTCATGGTCCTTATCGTGGAATTTGCACTGGCGGATCCAGAAATTCGGTAGGGGTGGCGCTCCGGTGGGCTGGTTTTGTGAATTGATTTTCATTTTTTTTTTGTAAACTGAGGGGGAGGGGCGCCTTCCCCTAAATCCACGCGTGCTTTGTGTAGCTGTGATTTGGCTCAAAGTATAGCCACTGTATACTATAGGTCGGAACAATAAACTTAGTCGGAAAGTTTCATGTCATTGAAAAAAAAAATAATAATAATAACGATAACAAAAACAAAAACGCGAAGAACTCCAGTATCACATGACACGAAACTCAAGTTGTGATAGATCGCTTCTAAATCAATCACTGATCGCGGTAATAACGTCATAAAGATATGATATAATATGAATACGAATAATCTAAACTAAACATCAAAGCTAATTGCTGCACAGAAATAAATGGAATAATAATTATAGAAAACAATTCAACGTAATTAACAAACACACCTATGATTTGCATCTCGCCCCGACAATTTGTAGCAAAATCAATTTTAACATGAGAAGAAGGAAATTGAGCGGTATTTCGAAACTATAATCTGCTCAACTGATATCGAGGAATACTACAAGACATGTGCAATCACGACACAATCGGAACATGCGCTCTGAACGACACCAAGTTATACCGACTTGGACATACCTAAATAAACTCGTGTTCCTTCACAGAAAAAAAAAATGAAAACAGAAAGTCCGAACTTAATAATTTGCATAACATGAGCAGTATGGCTAATACACTGTGGTAATATATACCGGTATATGTCCCCCGGCGTGTTACAAGAGCAATGTACTTTGGGAAGAGGACCCCCACCCAAACACATCTGTCGAATTAAACATTCGACTCTAAAGCCGACCAAATAACACAATCCCGTGCAAGGCGAATGCTACAAAATGTATAGTAATATTTCGTTGTTTGTGCTTGTTGTGTCGAGTATGGCTGTCTGTGCCGGTAAAGATTCAATACCAGAGACGAAAAAGGATCCGAAATCGAGTTTTGCTCGCACTGGTGCCTCGGACCCACCAACTTTACCCAGACCAGACGAAAAGGTAAGATATTGTTACAATAATTATGCATTTATAGCATTTAATAGAAAATATATAGAAAGTATATTTAAATTATAGTAAGTTACTAAATAATAGTCAAGTACGATCTGTGACGGAGGCGACCGTTCATGAATCAGTGTGGGCTCGACTAAAATCTCCCTTTCTATTATTGTAATCAACAGTCAATATGCTGGCACGTTGAAGAAATACTAAATATTCCATTCAGTTTACGTATTGTACAGCTCGCCCGTTTGGTGCAACATAAATATTTGGATCATAACCGGGTCAAGAGTGTACTAGTATTTAGGTTAGGGGTTTTTATTGCGTAAAGATGCATTATGGACGAAAACATGGATTTGTTCACTGCGTCATGTTGAGGACGTTGTACAGTATTAGTTTATAACGATGAAAGATACTCAAACGCAAATGCATTGTTATTATATATACACATAATCTCTCGACGTCACACAAAAACAATGTGCGCACATGTTCATTGATTAAAGATTACCCAGCTGTGTACTACAAGAATTGCAACTCCATTCCAAGATAAAGCATAATAAGTGTACTCATCAACGCACAGTATCAAATGATAATATTCCCTCGATATTGCTTCTTGAGCAGTGTCAGTACTTGCGTCATCGAAAGACAATTTAAATATTTACGAGCTTATGTGGACGCGAACTCAATAATATCTGACGTGCAAGAGTAAAAAATATATAGTAATTCGCAACATTCGTTTATTTGTCATTACAATCATCTACATTTGTATTTCATTCTCGACAGATAGACTTTTCAACTTTTAAACTTGACAAGAAAAAACTAAACCTGAACAAGCGACCTAATATGGACGGACTGCATAAAATACCTAAGGACCAGATGAAAATACACTACCCGGACTCATCACCGCCTCCTCTGAGATACCGTGATCCGCGTAAATTGCCACTGAATTCGGATTTACCTCCTCCTTTGAACTTCGACGACATTAAATGGCCGAAAATGAATTTTGGAGATCCTTTAGAGCGACTCGGCGATGGGAAGGATATTGAACATATGTGCAATGCTGATGAGGAGGACTGTGATGACGAAGAACTACAAGTCGACCATAAACAGAGCGACGAAGAAGTTACATTAGAGGAAATTATCGAAAATTAACAACACTGAGAATACAACTGACCTAGTCACATGATTCACGTTTTGTATCCCGGTGATTTGTTACTTTACGTTGCGATTACAGTGAAAATCACACTCCCGCCTATTACACTCATTTAAGATAAACGGTAATTTGTCTTTTTGGGCTGTACCTTGAATGCCTTCGGCAATGGCACAGTCACGGCAACGCCCAAAGTAAGCCTTCGAATGCATATAATACACAATTGCGCGTTTATAATTCGTTTCAAGTCATTATTGAAATCTATTTTTTCTTCTATAACACTCTCACTTGACTCTACTACCATTATTTCGCTTGTTTGCATAATAAATCCATGATGACTGTGAATGCATGCTCGAGGTTGTCCAACTAATTTTTTGTTTTGTCATTGATCTTATAGACAACATTATTAACCGTTCTTGCAAACAGATATTACACGGTACGTTCATGGCGGTAAACACTGAGAGGGATAAATTATATCAATCATAGTGAGTCTTTCGTTTCTGTTGCCATCAACGTGTGGCGAAGTTTGTGTGAGGGGGTCATATTGGGTATAAATGGGTTGCAGAATGGACAACGACAAAATAACATTTGTTTAAATCATCTTAGAAACAAATTCAAACATCT